TCTTATCGCTCATCTTGAAAACACGATTTTTTTAAAATCCTTTTAGCTTGACAGTACCTTTCCAATTTCTAGACAGCAAAGGAGCCCCTTTGTTGGAGCCTTTCAAAATGGCTGACCGCCTGCTCTGATCATTTAAATTGTTAAACCGCCTATCCCTGTGGCTCTTCTTTAATTAATTTGCCGTGCGTTGTGTCGAATTTCGCTTACGACCGGTATTGCAATTTCTTCTAGCTGTTGCAGAGATATTATCATGAGACGTGTTTACTTACGAAAGCAGAAGGTGGTCAGCTATCTGTCACTAAGAGAGTAAGGGAGGGAAGAATGTTGGAGATTAGACGAATGTGAGCGTCTCTTGCGGTTGCTCCTTGCTTTGACCCATCTGATGGGTGATTGTTCAGTGTGGTAATCAGCAAAGGGTATAACCCCAAAAGCAACTCTAAGGAATCGATTTGTAACATGCATGAAGTTTGGAAATGCACCTTTATTTATTTATGCAAGACGGCTGGTAGCAGAAGAGGAGTAAGGAAAAGAAAGCAAACGCATAAAGAAACAAAAGTAAAAAAGACTAGAAATCGAAAAAGAAGCAAAGAACTAGAAGTCAATGGCGAAAGCAAAATGTGAAGCTCTAACTAAGTTGGTTCAACAGGAGCATTGAAATAGTTCGGTAGTACATCTTCAGATCCGTCTGCGCTCGCTTTCGGTAGCCGGGAGATTTAAATATTTCCGGATGGTTAGATATACCAACTGAAACGAAAAAGATTGAGACGAGCGTCTTGCCTTGAAGGCAGCAAATCAGATATGCTTCATGCAGTGGCTTTACTACAAAACAAATTATGAAACATAAGCTTTAGAAGTATCACTGAACAAACTCGAAGTGTGAATTCCAATGGTAAATAAAATTTCTAAAAATTTTCATCATTTGGGTTTATGCTGCGATTTTGCCTAAATTCACATTTAGCGCTGATCATTTGTGAGTGTCATCAAAGATTTTCTCGACGCTGTGAAATAAAGTGTAACTTGTGCTTGAATTTGCGGTAACGCTGCCAGTAGTTGTTTTCTCACGAAACATCAGTCGATTCCAGCTCAAATATTGGTGTTCAGAGAGTAAAGATGGTTCAGCCGCATTGCAATTTACAGTCACTGACGGCATAAAGGTTATACTCATAATTGTTTTTGCTACCCTTCGGATGAAATTAATCGGACTTTAAATCAGTTCTAAAATGACAATGCTAATGATCTGTGTCTTACGGTACCATAAAAGCGATTTATTCGTTGAATGTATCATATGCAAAAAAATATAAAATATGACATGCGATTTGCATTTTTGAGGTGCCTCTTTACCGCATTGACTAAGGACCGGGATAGCGCTTGAACACATCAGCATAAATAGCATGACGACGCAAATCATATTTTTCGCTCTGGTGACAGAGGTTGACATTAACGCAAGTGCATGAATTTTGAACGTCCGTTACATTTGCAGTCTCCATTGACCACCAGCGCGTTTCCGTTAGCACCAGTCTTCTGTTCTGCTGCAAACCTTCTTCAGTTTAATTCACGGTTTGGCAAACGCCGCACCGGCCTAAGTGCGACGAAGATTTGTCTTTATGTAAGCTACGCATAAGCACTGACATAATCAGATCATACTAATTTCTTATTATAATTAGCAACTAATGGTGAATAATAATTTCGACATTTGTTAGTTTATCGACGTATTATCGGAAAGCGATGACAATGATGGCGGACAGCGCAAAGGCGAGGCTGAGCGACGGCTTATTTCTTGACTAGTCGTTGTTTCGCCACTCGTCATTTAAGTATTTTGATTAAGTGCAATTAAAACGCCTTGCTGTCCAGGACCCAATATTCGTGGCGACGTCATCAAATACCAGATGATATGTACGACTTAGATTGAGATTGGCCACTTATTGATTAAAGCGATCAGCGTAATCTCATTAGATTTGAAAATTGAGCAAGCTTAGCTGACACACGGAGAGCGTGCCGCGAAAACAAATCAGGCTTGCGATTTGAGGCTGTAAATTGCGTAAAACAATTTGAATCCGTCGAAAATCAGTAAATTAAAGCGTTGTTTGAAGAACGCTCGAAAAGCAACTGACCACCTCTTCAGAGGCACGAGTTTCGAAAGGCGGCGATGATGAATGCGACGAGTTTCGAGTGCATGCCGCCGGTCCTGTACCAAAAACCAACCTTCGCTAATAACGCCAATTCGACTCGTCAGTATTTCGGCGCGACGGTGTTTTTCCCGACATATCGGTTACGAAAATCAATGTGACAGTATTGGGAGTACAGAGAGTGAAAATATACGCTTCCCGCCATTTTGTCAACGATAAGCCAAAGCCAAGGCTACACTTAGGCTGCGCTTATCATAAAGGTCGTATTGGCGCTTGAAACAAATCATTACTGTTGCACGATAAGACAGTACACGATCGATATTGATAACGAACGACGAAAAGATGGACGACGAAAAGTTGGACGACGAAGTAAACGTTCGACGAAGTATTTACGTGGTGCCTCCAGAATGAGTGACGTCCGATGATGTCGACTGAGCACTGTCCATAGTGTTCTCTACGTTCATCATCAGGGGGCGCTTCGGTATCGCAGTAGTCGGCAGTGATATCAGTAGCGGCTCTGAGGTAACACCAACTCCAACACCAGTGCCAATACAGGACAAGTTGCTGCCGCCATAGCTGCTTTCTAACTTCAGATGGTGCGAATCCATGTGGCGTCTGAGGTCTACCTTCCGTTGAAAAGCTCGGCCACACATTGTGCACGAAAACGGCTTGAACCCGGTGTGCTTACGAGTGTGTGTGATGAGATTTGACGACTGACTAAAACCCTTTCCACAGATCTGGCATTTGTGCGGCTTTTCTCCTTAAACGAAATTTATTCATCTACAAACTATTATCAAGGTGTACAAAGAGCGACGCAATTTGCCCTGCCTGAACCATGGGTTAGCAGCACTCGGAATAATTTCCCACCCAGAAAAGTGTAGTAGAACCTACTCGAACTGAGTAGGTGGACGATTTTCGACTAAGCATCAGTATAAAATGACAAAAAGGACAATAAATAATAAAACTAAGCAACAAAACACATTTATGTCAAGGAAAAGCATGACTCCTTTCACTAAATGAATTAGAAAAGCAGCGTGCATTCGCCTGTTAACAGCTGACGTGTAAGCCATGACATGGTAGATGTTATCCAGAAAGAACATGAATAGATGAAGCTGAAGTCGAGCTGCACTTGGAAATGAATTTTGTCTCTCCAATGTGGCGATGATCCAAAGCATTGCAACAGCATATCGAACAACCGGAAATACATGGAAATCCCGAATGCTTAGGCAAAATGGACAGCAAAGTGAATCAACTATTGACATGTTGATCTCCTAAAATCTCTATTATGAATGGTGCTTGTAACATCCTTTCATGAATCGTATGGTGCAACGCTGAATTCTAGTTTAGTGTTATTAATGTTGTCGATCAAGAGTCACTGCCAGCAGCATGATAATTATTTCAGTGCGTGATTATCTGCTTCTCTCCGAGAGTCATATTCATTTATTCTGAAAGGGTTAAAGGGGAAGGAGTCTAGCCGGATTTGAACTCAACGCTACAACTGCGGGTTTGGTGCTCTGTCAGTTGTGAACCATCCCAACGAAAATCTATGCCAATGCAACATCAGTCAAACAACCATCCCACCATATCTATAGCCCGAGCACCTGACAACAAACAGATCAACTTTCCCTATACCTGCAATTCAGCGGCAGTTCTAAAATATAGCCGTTATGACAGAGCACAAGTTGGCGCAAAATTAAGTATTAAGCACTGACCACTCACCCAAAGTTGTCTATCTTAATGCTGGCAAACAATACAATAAGACAATACTTTGATCATTACAAAATAATGGCGTGCCATCACCTGGAAAAAAGAAAAGGTAGGAAACTTTTTCATTTTACAGAAGCCGTGCTGCAGCGCTTATTCTAGTGCTTCTAGAGCTTATGGCTAGTGACTAGGATCCAGCAGATTCGAAAAATATCAAATATCGCATTAATGCATAATTGATATTGGCATGCGAATTCAAGCATTGCGCTGATAAACCAGAGTACCAATTTGTATTGATGACATACAAGCGATAAATAGCGATTCATGACCGTGTATGGCCATACCTATGACGAAATGGCTCACAGCATGACTTTTAGTGTTAGATGCAGTATGGCTTACATGACGGCTGGCTCGTGATTTAAACATAAGAATAATTTTTACTTGTAAATTTAACGGTAAAATTTCGTTCCATTTTTTGTTGAACATTAACAACCAGTTGCAGTGAATGATGCAGTACGATCCAACGGACTGCGCAGCGCCAACAGCGCTTACGTACTTAGGGTGAGTAAAGAAATATGTCGATGTGGCAATATTTAACTCTCCGTTAAATATTTTACTCATCTCTTACACGAAAAATAGTCGATGAGGATGTTTTTCAGCAGTTAGGAATCCTCACATAAAAGCCTGCTTCCCTTATAGACTGCAAACCTTGATGAAATGATTGGTCTCTATTCTCTATATTAGAGAATTCTTAATGGGTGCGGCAACGAATAAAATGGATGCGAGGGTAGCTAAATGAAACGTCATATCTATGAGTCTTCATCTGGGAGGAAAACAAACAGGATATTGTCACAAGCAAACAATCCGCTGGACTAGGAGGGTTACGAAATTCGGTTCTTAACTGAAGAACTTAGCGGAGTTGTTATTCTAGTTTTAACGATGAACTTGCATTGCTAATGCCAAGATCCGATTGGAAATATATGATGATACAAATGTTGCAATGTAAAAAATGGTCTATCGATTGTATTTTTTAACAGAAGTAAAATATGAACACTATGTGCACTAAGTATTAAATCGAACTTCTGCAATACAGGTTGACTCTGTGAAGAACGATTTGAATATTGATTTTTTTCTTCCTTCTGGCCCTTTATGTCTGGATGCTTAAGACGCTGAAAATGTTAGAGAGATTTATTCCCGCACGCTTTATAGACCTGCAAGATATTTGAGACAGGCATTCCGATCAAAGCGACGAGAGTGCTGCGAGAATTGTGGGTGGTTGGCAATCAGCATATAATATGACTGCTCAGAGGTTTATATCCAGACAAATGACAAGGAAACAATGCCCGTCGAGGTGCGTGTCGATCACCGCCAACGGCACATGTTGTACCTTTCAAAGCGTATGATTTTCATGCAGGGTGTCAGAAAGAGCAGCGTCAGCATGGAGAATATCATAGCTGGAATTGTGCGACTGAATCACTTGCTGTATGTAGATGATCGGGAAATGTTTTCTTCTTCTCATGATGGATTCCAAGGTGCAGCCGAGCTCTGTATTGATGCATATGAGGAGGCCATGTTGAAAATCAGCCTAGTCCAAGTTGAGTATTTTTACTCTGTAGCAATTTTTCCGAATGTGCTCCGCAGATAATTATAGTACAATGTAAGACTGAAAGAGGCAAAGGAGTATAACGGACAACATTCATCAGTGATAATCAGTAATGCCAGGCAAAACAAGGAAACAAATCATATATAACATTCGAATAAGCCGAATAAACGTTGTAATACGGAAATTAAACTGATTTGTAGCGATGAAGAAAGGGCGAAGCCATTTTCGTCAAATCGGTCTAAGCGCCTACCCTCACCCATGGCCGCTAACGTTTCATGTTGATAATAAGAGTCTGATCCCAAATACAAGAGACAAAAATGTGATTTCATTAATTCGAGGTTCAGTAAGGCTTGTAAAATGGCAATCCTAGGTAACCTTGGTTGTGAGTCCGTTCTTCTTCAGATCGAGTATTAACAAGTGTGGTCAGGATGTCAAAGTTAAGATTCGACAACCCACAGAAACATGGCTCTGAAGTAAACCACGGACCAAATGACTCCATTACACAGAAGACCTGGCTTTGTCACGCTTTGCGTTGAGCCTACTCCTTTGCGACAGATTGGGTCCATTGAAAGGTCTCATGAAACAGCTGCCATCATGACTTGAAGCAGATTGTGGCATCAAAATGGAATGAAATAAATGACAAGACTTATTTTTCATTGATAATATTTGCTTGAGAGTTTTGACCAACCGAGCAATGCAGTGAAACTGTATGTAACAAAACTCAAATGACCAATTATCAGACTTCTTAACCTATGAGTTTCTATGTGACGAAATATTATTAATTATTAAAGAGTATGGGTGATGCAGAAATTTAAAATGTACTAAGTTGGAAGTACATTCTCAAGAACAGCAGAATATTTAGTGACACATTGTTGATCACGAAAGAACTTGTTAGCTGAAGGTTAATGTAATTTTGGATATGCTTTTCATGATTTGTTTCTGTTACCCAAAATGTAAAAAGTGTGGGGTGGCGTCAAATTTCAGGAACTAGGAATTCAAATAAACTGACTGGATCACCCAATAAATGAAAATTTGAGACGAGAAACGTGAGACTACATTCAGCGACATTTTTGGGTCAAGGATCAGATTCATGAATCACTGATTATGAGAAAATGAAAATAATATATCTAAACATCAACGCTTTCAGAACTAGTTAGTAATCAAATGACAGTGCTATTAAACAAGTTTAAAAATAGTTACACTTAATTGAAAATTTAAGTTTAATTGAAAAAGACTTACCTCGACTAAAATGAAATATTGAAATATAGATTTTGCATTGTTTCTGTGACCTTTAAGGTCAATTGTCAATCGTTTCTCTCTTTTAAAGAAACATACAACCTTCTTGCAAGATTAAAGGAATTATTTTGTCGTTTGATTTGCATAATGGAGTATGCAACAACGCACGGTTGAATAGCTGAGCAAACAGTCAGATAAACACAAAAATGTGCACATTTCTAACAAGACCAACAGCAGGCACAACGCAAAACATCCGCAGTGCAACCTGGTGTTTTCAAAATTAGAACGTTCCTCAGGGAAAGACTGTATGTTCAAGATTATTGCTGCGGTGAACTTCTGAGTAAAATAGAAGAGTTGGCAGATGAAATGGAAAAGTTAATGAATTGAAAATTGTAGTTATTTGAACGTGGTAGATTGCCGGATGTCTATGGAACTGTCATTAGGTTTCTGCAATATAATGAATAAATGACATTAATGCAGACATTTTGGCAAAATTATAGCGCTGGATTTTGCAGTCATATACATTCAACCAACGTAAAAGGTGTCATTCTATTTTTATCACCTGATATGGTCCATCATTTCCCATCAGAAATTAACCGAATCCTTTTTCTTCTTGCCTAATAGTTATCATTCTCGTATCAAACAGAATTTTGCTGAAATAATTTCCCTGCACATTCTTCAGGATTAATATGAACGGTGGCCCTAGACCTTGTAGTTTCTACTCAGTGTATTTCTTCCTAAGCAGAAGTGTCTTATATGGCATAAGCGGATCTGTCAAACCACCTAGTCATCAGAGATTCTGTAGCGGATTGTTTCAGGCTTCGTAGCTACCGTGACGGTTTAGGAATATTCATTCCATCATATATTTATATGCATCTTCTCCTGCTCTTTCATATGCCGTGCCAGCGTGCACGACATATGCGCTGCAGTCGAGCTATGGAGCGCACAGGATTTTTGCAACCACATAAATTCAGCTGTCAGGCGAATTATATCAAAACTCTCGTACTTTTCTATTCGGTTAGCATTTGCATTTATTCTGCGCAATCGATTATTCCACGAGTTCGATGACATAAAACAAGCAACTCTTTAGCATGGATTTATGGAAGCATTTTCCATTAAGACCCAAATTTTGCGATCGCTGATGGATCAGAGGCCTCTCAGATGAGTGAAATTTACTTCCTATTGCGTAGAAATGATTTTAAATCATGCCATTAC